TGGCCAGAGGTCAGTGGAAAAAGACAATTATTGGGCTAGTTTCAGAATTATAAAATGTGTCATTGATTCGCCCCAGCAAGCCAGTGCAATTACGACGAGTGAAATGTTCTGACAAAATGTTCTTTGCAAATACCGTGACAAGAGCTCTCATTGAATAAACTGGAAATCTCTTACAGCTGCCTGCTCTTTACTTGTATTGCTGCTCTCTGTGGTAATAAAAAATTAATGTCTGAAACAATAAGCTTTCCTGATGATTTAACAAGAAATTCCTGTTTCGGCATGCTTAACAGCAATTCCTATTGATCCAAAATTTTTCTTAGGTTCAGTAAAAGTGTGTTTACGTCCTTAACACCATTTTGCTTGACTTGGTCCAATAATCTATATTCCCCAATTTATGAACTTGATTTTTGGCCGGAAACGTTGAATGGTGGAACGAAAACTTACGATTGTACTACTTATGCTCACAAGAATTGAGTGCAAAGTAATGCAGTCAACAATAACTATGTTCATGCACGGCTCCTTTTGATTTAATTCATTTGTGTACGTACGTCTCCGCTCGCATAAATACCTCTATTTCCAGGTAAATGTTGCAAGTTGACTTAGTCGTAAATCACGCGGGTATCAAAAACTCCTGATTCCTCCCCGATCTATTTTGCCAGTTTCATTAAGGCCTATTCATGCGAGTGCAGTCCCTTGTAAAGCTGCAACTCTGCAATGCTGTTGCCACATCGTCATAAAAAAATAAGGGATTCTACTTGGATATTGCGAGGCCATGAGATTTGCCGCTACTGACAGCTGTGGATTAAAGCAGCGGTGCAATTTCCATAACATCCTCATGTTTACTGTTTAGTCAGCTGCCGGAGGTCGGGGATGTCCCTCGGCACGGCGCATGCGCAACGCGCAATGGTAAAAATACAGCATTTTGCCGATAAAGTTGAGGCATTTTCGTGCGGGCCATCCAGTCTTTCCAAAAATAGGAAATTACTGTGACACATAAGTTATGTTCTATAAAATTCAATGTCAATTCAATTTCATCATACTGTTTAATCATCTTACACTCGTTGAAGAAAATTTGTGCAAAAATTAGCTTTACGTTGCCAAGTCTTAAGGGACTTGGCTACGTAAACAAATTGCCGTAAAATACTTCATGAACATCTGTCGCAAAATAAATGTTATGCAGCACAGTGATGTTCCCATAAATTTTTTTTTTTCAAATAAAAGAGGATCTCATTAATACTTAATGGAAATTCGCAAATAGTGCCTTGCAAAGAAAAAGAAGACAAACAAATCGTTGTCTGACGTGAAAAATTGTAGTTAGAATTTTTTGGAAGTAAAAATTCATTTTGAAACATTTGGTTTGGAGTGATATAAAATGTGTATTTAAGAGGAAGCAGAAAAAGAATATTTTAAAAATTTAAATAAAAAAAACTAAAATTCTTATTTAATCGTCTTTCTGCAAACTTAAAATAATTGGGTATTTTGGACGTAATTAAAACTTATCGGATAAAGAGGGTTTGGTGGAATGTTTTAGGGTTGAATTTGACCTCCTAACATTTTTTTACGTTCCAAGGATCAAAAATTGTTTTTGTTTTCAAGAGCCATCACAGGTAAAAAAACCTCTTGGACCAATGCCGCGGTACGCATTGACTTAAGAGTGCAGTTTCTTGTCGCCGGATTTAAGAGTCTTGAACTCTTGTTTCAAGCAGATTTTGCATTGATTCAAGCGGATTTTGCATTGATTTAAGCGGATTTTGCATTGAAACAAGAGTCCAGACTCTTAAATCCGGCGACAATAAACTGCACTCTTGAACCAAGAGGTTTTTTTTTTTTTTACCAGTGATCACTTTTTGTAACTTATGTTGTTCACTGTTTTGTGAGGCAAATGGACTACATTTTTGAGGTACTACCATTTCGTACTTATTTTAGATTCAACACATGCAAATAGATCCTTTTAAGAATGAGTAGTGCATTTGTAGTTCCTAATTGCAAGATGTAGTCCACTGTGCGGCGATGCAGCTGCTCCGGGCGTGTCCTGAATCCAGGGGCTCAGGGCGCAGGACTGTCTGTCTGACACAGGAAGCGCGTGAAGTGTGTCCTTTTGGGCGGGCACCGAGGACCGAAATTAATCTTTCCCGATTTCGAAACAGTTTTGGCGAGAGGATTACCGCGTGCCATTCCGAGAAATAGTTTGAGCCTCCGCCTCCGAGATATGATGCGTCGAGGGGCTTGAAGAAAATAACCCACCCGGATCCTGTTACAATTTCTTGCTGGAGCTCGTAAAAATCGAGATCCTTGTTTAAAAGAGTTGAAATCAGGTATCACCCCCAAATATATTGCTAATTAGATGGCGTGAGAAGTAAATTATGCTCAGAAATGAGCAAAAACTCAATTATGCTGGGTTGAATTTAAGCTCGTCGCCTCACTTTTTTGTTTTCAACTTGAAGCACAGTTACTTTTTTTATTAGTTTTACTTGGAATAATTAAATTTTACGTTCCTTGCAGTCAGGAGGATATCAGTCTGTTCAAGTGCGATCGCACCAAAAGTAACCAAGAACAGTATTTTAAAATGGCAATAAAGATACAACTCAAATTTGAAACTTTGAGTCAATGAAACCTGTATGTTGTATGAGGCAGCAGTCACAACAAACCATGCCAAAAAAAAGAAGTCAGCGTTTATAGGACTCATATATTTTTTGGATTCGCATAATCACAAAAATTCCATAACCTGACTGTTTCATGAACTTTTAGGATTCTCAGCTGCTTACTACGAAACAAACGTTCATAACTGATAACGAATAAAAAAGGACTCATAATTTTTTGAGCCAAACTCCGTGGAATGAAACTAGGTACTACTGTCGTCCATAGTTGGGATATACAGTCATTCATGCACAGTTGTAAAAACAAATCGATTGATCGATATCTTTTGTCACAACTTTGATCGTGAGCAATTTTGCCGCTACATTTCTGCGGAGGCCTTGTGGTGAAACTAATACTGTCAAGCAATGAAAAATGAGTTTAAAGTAAGCTTGAGACCATTATTTTCATGGTAACTTATTTCACACCATAAAAATGTTTTCCGCTAATTACAGGCACGTTAAAAAAAATTAATGAACTGTCTTCTTACATCCAGCCTCAGTATCAATCATCCAGCCTGAGATCAAAATTACTTTAAATACTTCAAACTTACTTCTCTTTATGCTCAACACTGCAATTAGAATGTTTTTACCTGTTTTAAATTGAACTTCCCCTTTTCTTTCGATATAAATTTGACGATTCGTCGTTAAGTTTTATCTCTGCTTGTCGCTGTTATTCAAACAACAATTTTTTTGCTCCGTTTTTTGTAAACGAGTTAATTTTGAAGTGTCACTCAAAGCAGGTCTTAAATTATTATTATTAAATTATTTTGGTGAGGCGAAAGACTTCCAACGGCTGAACAGAAGTAAAATTCGTTCACAACTCGCATTCCGACGGGGAACAGCGTTGTGCGCACCCGTTTTGAAAGTATTAAAGAAACCCGCAGATGATTAAAGAAATTTTTAATCCTATAAGAGGCTACCTCCCAAAAAGAGAAAAAAATAAAGGAAAAGTCGGTCTTAACGAGGTAAAACCTGTTTAGCGCCCCGGCGTGACTATAAGTATTCTTAATATTATGTGTGCCTGTAATTAAAACGAGAAGTTTTCGAAATGTCTCCAAGTTAATACGTTCGCTTTACAATCACCAATGATGTATTCGACATCAAGGAAGAGATCCTTAATTGACTAACTTTTCTTAGTGTGAGTTTTGCACAATTTATTTGAAGTCGAAGAATGACCAAATAATTGATAAATTTTATTTTTATAGTTCATCAAAGCTTTTGGAATTCGAGGAAACAATCTCATGGTGTGACTATAAAACCTTGTGCAGAAATTGAGATTTTTCAAAAAATCGATTTTTAATCATTTTTCTTCATTTTTTCTCAGAATCAAATAATATATATGATGTTTCGATAAAATGAGATATCAAAAAGTTGAACGTAGTTTATTTACTTTAAATAAACTGTCAAAGGAAATCTTTCTTTACACAAGAAGATAAATGAGTACAAGTAGAGAATTTATTTCAAAAAAATATATTTTACTAATATAAAAGTTATTTTATTACATATCTTACAATCAAATTATAATACAAAATATTCATTTCAACGGACTAAAATAATTGTTTCGTTGTATACTTTCAAAAAACTGCCCATATCTTATATTATTTGCTACTTGTTGAATGCTCATTTTTAATTTGATAATACGAACAAATTACCTGGATAGAATTACTTTAAAAATTTAGGCGTTTAGGTCCCTCAAAAAACAATGTCTTCAGAACATGGCTGAATTGTAAAGATCTTGTGGAAAAACGGGAAAAATGCAACTTTAATTCATTGTTTCAAATCACTGATATTGTATTCACGGTTAATAAACACTGACTGATCCTGAACTCTGATAAGGCAATTTGTATTAATTTTACCTATTTAAGGATGTGTTTATTTTTTTAAACTTACTTTTTATTGATTTTTAATTTTTTCGAAAAAATTCATAATCAGATTATGTAAACCTTTAAAAATTTGGAGGACTAAAATTTTTCACAGCCAAAATTGTATCCTTTAACCTACGTTTAGAAGTAAAACTAGTTTAAAAAGAAAAAGATAAGCTATTAAATTTAAATTTTTACAACGATTTAGATAAAAATCTTGTTTCAATCGAAAGACGCAACATACACTGCATTATCAACTATCTAATTGAAATTTGCGGCAATGTTTGCCTTCAAATGTGTTGCTCTAAGGAAGGATCGGAAATTGAATATGTATAAACTAATTTTTTAACACTTCCCTAACAGATATTCATAAGTGTTTGTACCTCTTTTATACAGCGGAACATTACAATATACAAGTATTTGGGACAAAATTGAGAAGAATTCAATATACACATAATTATCATTTTTCTTTGGGCACGAATACTAACGTAATCTCATCAAATTATAAACTTTTTACACACATAACGAACGACTTTCAATGTACAATATAAAAAAAATATCAACCGATCGTGAAAAAAATCAATAAAAAATAAAATATGTCCATCTATTAACAGTATGTACAATCGAATGCTGATTTTTTCTTTTTGTATTTCAAAATCTACAATCGGTACAAAGTATGTACATTATCAGTCAATATTCTGGTAACATTTCAAAGTTGTGACCATATCAATCACAAAAGTTAAATTTCATACGTATACTTGCGTTGTTTGCAATGAAGCAAATAATATTTGTAACAAACTTACGCTTTGTAATCTGACACCATGCAAATCGAGGTTTGCCATTGATGTTATGATTTGTTCATGATTTTACGGAACTAAATTATCTTGATCGCACCTTAGTAATTACTTCTGGATTTAAAATATAAATGTGGTGTTCCACATTCACGGTGCAGAAAATTAAGTTTAAACTAAGTAAGTTCTCATAAGAAAATGAAGGACTTGAGCAATGCCTGAAGGATCAATTTGAATGGCAATGTTTTTTTTCTTACAGAAAGAAATGTGAAATGTTGAAAAATATTCAACTCTCTTCTATGAAAGTATTGTTCTATTTTTCTTGAATTTATAGATATTAATAGGAAAAAGCTACTCAGATAATGGCATTCCCAGGTTTTCAGTCTGGTATATGTCTTTGAAAAAAAAAACAACAAAAAAGACTCAGCCTAAAAACTCTCAAAAATCAACGAACAGTCGGAACTTCTCGCAAAATCTGCACCAAGAGGAATATCAGAAAAATCATTCTACATAGGTGTGATTTACGATTCACTTTCGTAATGAACCAGCGTACTGTTTCTCACACCAGGCGACATGGTTGAGAACTCGTTCAATTCTACTATTGAGTATCCTGATGCTCTTCTCAGGCAATGTTGGAAGCGCCTCTCTGTCAAGCTCATCAAAACTGAGCTCATTGAGGAGATAGCCCACGTTTCCATCAGTCTTGAGCTTGGTCAGTGCATCGATGGTGGGCTTGCGGAAGACACAGAGTGCGTCCAGCAATACGCTATGATACGACTCGTACTTGGAAAGAAGCCGGTAGCCGTGGAGTAGCCCACTCTCGTTGTCCAAGAAGACCAGGAGTCCGGTATCAGCGTTCTTAGCCAGGTTATGAGCCGAGGCGTTCATCATGCCCGGGTTCCACTGGAGGTTGTACATGTTGTTGACGACCCGGTCCAGGTTGGCCGTGAGGTAGTCGAAGACGATGAGGTCTGACCATTGGGCCAGCTCCACGATGTCGGGCATTGGACCGTCCACGTCATTGGGGTGCAGGCGCTTGTTGACGGAGCGCAGCGGGCTCGGGATGTACGCCGGCTCGAGGGCGGGCAGGTACATGGTCACCACCACCGGCCGGTCCTCGTGCCACTGGGCCAGCGACGCCTGCGACTTGACTTTGGACCAGAGCGAGCTCCGCGCCTTCACCACCGCCAGCGTGGAGGGCGTCAAATTTTTCAATCCTAATATCCTACCTAGAAAAAAACTAAAGATCTCACCCTGGATCTGGTCGGTGTTCTGGCGGTACCTGGAGCAGGCCCGGGTGCCGTCCTTGAAGATGAGGAGCCGGTTCTGCATTCGGCCGCAGCCCTCCTCCATCTTGACGACGGAGCTGGTGCGCACGTACTTCCGCCACCGGGTCGCGTCCTTCTGCGAGTACCCGGAGGGGAGCGCCTTCTCGACCTCCTGGTTCCAGTAGACGCCGTCCAGCCAGCCGGGCGATATCGAGTTCCTCTCGACGTCCCCGTGCGTCGTCGAGTTGACGAAGGAGACGCTCTGAAAACTCGTGCTATTTACTATGTCCTTCTTCGACCTGGCCAGTCGCACGACCGTCGCCGGGTCGAGGGAGGGAAATATATGACTAGTGCTATTCATTTGGGAACTCGAATACTCTACAACGCTCGTTCCTAGGACATACTCGGGGATTAGGATGCCGACCGTGAGGCCGAAGAGGAAGGCGGCCAACGTTGTCAGGATGAAGATGGCACGCTTGACCGAGATGTTGGAGGCTTTGGCCGGCTCGAAGTAGGGACTATCACAACTCGTCAAGGACTTGCCCGTGAAGAGGGCCAACACCGCATGACGGAGTCTGGTGCGTTTCCGTCGGCGCTTATCGCTTTGGCTCGCCAGGGTGGGCATGATCGTGTACTCGGCACACATGGCTTCCAGAGTGCTCGCCTCGGGTGACGTCATTCAAAGGAGGGAGCGGGAGGTTACTCGGTCGGATTAAACTCGCGGCGGAGGTGTTCGGGCGGGTTGGGATTTCGACGGACGGGTCGACGGTTGTCTGCGTTCATCTTCTCCCGGGCAGACGCGGGCGAGACAATGCTCCGTCTCGGAGGAAGAGGTAGTCCAGGCGCTGCTGCATCAAGGCTGATCGGGTCGGGTCGAGTCGAGTGTGTTGACTTAGCGCGGCCACCGCTTCCAAGTTGCGACGCCTCCGGACCACTTGACTCCGGCTCACTCCCAAAGTGACATGTGTTTATATTAGCGGTGGAGAATCATTTTCGGAAATGAGTGAGCATCTAACAAGGGCCCCTATTCAGCGGCGTGAATATTTATCGCCGCGGTGTACAAGTGTTGAGTCTTCGCTCGGCTAGCGGCGGAGTTATTAGTTCCGACGACGTGATTAAAATACGGAGTCGGCCGCGCGGCTCACCGATGTCGGGATGCAGATACAAATTGATCCGGGGGATCTACACCGACCGTGGTGGCTCGCTCCGAAGGAATGCGCTAGCTTCTCTGTCAGCGTCGACGGTTGGGTTCCTTCTTTCAGCACACGCCGTGAAATTTCTGTGAGCTCCTGAAACAGACAAAAGAAATTCGGATGTCAGTTCATCTGTCGGATAAAATTCATCACATGCAGAATCTGCAAAGTTGAAATAAATACATTGATTGCAATTTGGAAAGAAAAGAAAATATTTTCAACTTTTAATACTGGTTAAATACGCATCTTCGTCGGATAAGTGAAAAACGACCACGTTAGAAAAACCCATTAAATCGTGCCCTCGTTGATAATAGGTTCCTAAGCATGGCGGCAAAAAATGGACGTATTTCTGCCAAACGGAACCATTTGCATTATGACGTGAGCCCTGTTACGCATGTATTCTTATGAGTCTCGGAGCTCATGTCTTAATGCGCATAGTTCCGTTCGACAGAAATAGGTCCAAATATGCTAAGCGGGCTGAGAAAATCTTTACATCGAGCGATGAGAATTTTGGTGAATAAAAATATGTTCAGAGAGAAAATTTGGATGATTTAGTTGAAGATTCTGGTATAGTAATCAAAATTTCAACTATGCGTTAGCCATCGCACCTAAAATACAGCCCCAGGGATTCTATCGTAGCATAAAAAAATACGCCGCGTTGAGTAATTACTTAAAACGAATGCATGATGAGGGTCATACAGCAATTATCCCACTAAGACACAATCAGATATTAATGAGGCATAAAAAATAGATGGAGAACTTAATTTGCCAAACAATCGAATCTTGACTGCCGGAAAGATTGAAACACCATGCACCATGAACCCACAAAATATTTATTTGAAATTATTACTGTCGTGTTTTGAATTAATTTCATACTTTGAGAAAATTATTTGCCCCAATGTATAATAGTTGGCTCTATGATAAGCCGGTTCCTCGTGACAAATGTCCTAATTATAAAGCTATGAACCATTTTTTTTTCACGTTAATCCCATACGTGAATTTGCACGATGCATCCTCATTACTAAATCTCAAGTGTAATTTAATGCGACATTATTATTCAAAAAGTAAGTGAATGTACACATGCTTGCATTTTTACCAAAGCCCCTTGATGATTTTTCTACATTTGTTTAATGAACTTGTCCGTGTTCAAATTCTTTCCGCTGCCTGGACGAGTTACAACATTCTTTGAATTTGTCTCGAAAGTGTTGTTTTCCCCTTTCTTTTCATTTTAATACTTTAAGTGCATTAGATGTACTTAGAACAGGCGATGTCAGAACCTAATGCAGAGATTAGTACGAGGAATGTTTTCTCAACTATCTTCTACCACAGCTTATGCATTTATTTATGAATTTCTTATGGACAGCGAATATTTCTATGTTGTGCAGGATGAAGTGAAAAAGTAGCCTCCAACGAATTAGCATCGTAATATTAGCAGATGACAGTGAGCATAGATTAGCTAACATCTTAGCCATGACGTGGCCTAAGTTACCGTATTGGCCGCTTCCTCCGAACGAAAGCATTCGTATTCATTTTTTCTCAACTGAGAAAAAATCACTCAAGCAAATAGATCTTGCTGAATGTGTTTTTTGGTTAAATAAAGAAAAGCTATTTCATGGTGTGTCTCTGATTAGCCTCTAATTTTTGGTCCTGTATGTACAGAAGAAGTTGGGCCAGAAACTCCCATGCCTAATTTTAAAGGAAAAGTTACGGACTTCTGGAGAAATGATCAATAATTACGACGCAACTACGTCAGAAAAGAAAGCTTATTTTAGTTCAAGCTTATTTCATCGTACTGATATTTTATAGTGTTGCTGTCACACCACCTAGTATTAATTCAAAAATCATTTCAATAAGCAGAAGTATAGTGAACAGCATTCCACAAAGTTGGAGAAGTTCGAATTTAGTTGCTGATTTTCTTTCACTTGAGTGTAATTTTCCGGATCATGGTATGTTTCCGGTGGATATTATGGGAGCAGCCCCGAGGAGGAAGCAACAACCTTGAACGCTCAGAAACCTAAAAAAGGTGATGAATAGCTGACGAAGGAAAAAATAGATATAATCATAAATAAGACACTGGCCCATGATCGGGTTTGCGACCTTTTCAGCAGCGAGCAAGAAATCTCATCGAACACCGCAAACAATTAATATTGGAAAGAGAGGGAATACACGAGAAGGAGAGGACGTTTTTTGTAGCACGCACGACGCATGAGAAGGCCGCGAAGAGAAATATCCACCCGGCGCATGTTGCAACATACGTTCTCGATCCGTTATTAGAGTGTGGGGCTTCCAAAGGCCTTCGGATGTGACTTGACAAATGCGCGGCGGCTGAAAAAAAAGCTGTTTTCCGCGAAGCCGAAGCTTGCTCGAGTCACAGGAAGTCATGTGCGGATAGGCCACCGTTAGAGCCACCAGATAGCGCGCGCGGTCGCGCACGCACAATGCGCGATGCAGGAACGAAAGCAGTAGGGGGAAGGAAAAAAAGCCCGGCTCAAAGAGCGGCGACGGTAACGGGTCGTTACGAGGTAGGAACATCGCAAACAGATGCATGCTCAGGCGGAATCCATCAATTCGTATGCGTGCGCATGTTATCGGCCAGTCATAATTCTAGGTTTATCGTCCAATCCGTTTTCGCCCGGCGACGCTGACGTCGACGTCGACGTGGACGTGAACGTGACGCCGGACGCGTCCTCCCCCGACCGGGGTCACCACCCGGAAAATCCGGATTTTCCACGTGTCGCCCGCCTCAAAGAAATTTTGGTCCTTTGCAGTGGAGATGTTGCATGTGTGAGGAATTTGCGATTTGACTGTTGATTCTTGTGTAAAAGTTCGCGAGAAACACGATGGTGCCACTGGTTTTCTCTGAAATCAACTCCCAAGCTCAAAAAAAGCTCTCAAGTTGAGGCCAAAATGGAGGGGATATTCCACGCTATCCTGAGAGTCCACCTCTACATCGAGACAAACTCTCCATGCAAAGATAGGGAGGAAATACATTAGCAGTGCTGCCGTGTTTTCAATTTTAAAGTCCCCGAATAAAGTGGCAGCCCTGTAAATGTATTTGCTCCCTATCTTTGCATGGAGAGTTTGTCTTGATGTAGAGGTGGACTCTCAGGATAGCGTGGGAAATCCCCTCCATTTTGGCCTCAAATTGAGAGCTTTTTTGAGCTTGGGAGTCGATTTCAGAGGAAACCAGTGGCACCATCATCGTGTTTCTCGCGAACTTTTACGAAAGAGCCAATAGTCAAATCGCAAATTCCTCACACATGCAACATCTCCATTAAGGGCCGTTCAGGTAATACGTAACGTACTTTTTTCGATTTTTTGATCCACCCTCCACTCCTTCTAACGCACTCGTGAAGCAACCCTACGCCCTACTTTTAGATTACGTAACGCTGGCGTAACTCATTCTCTCAATTTTAAAAAAATCAAGAAAATTCTAAGAAAATAGCTGGAAAAAATTCGGTTTTTTTTTTAATATTTTGCAGAAATACAAAGGGAAGAGATCACCAAAAGTGTGAAAATAAAAGCTTCGATTTGTTTCATTCATAATTTTACCGGAAAAGTGCACTTTGACAGTTTTGAATAAGTTAACCAACCATTGCAAAAATAATATGAAATAAAAAAAGGAGAAGAATGTTCAAGGATGTTCATTCGTTCACATGTTGCCTCTTCGAAATCTTACGTAGAAAAAGATTCACATCACGACGGGAAATTGGGAAATCAACTTCCTAGCGAGATATCAACGAGCATTCGTAACACAGATCAAATGGAAGTTAGACCATATAGATTACGTAATTTTTATTTTTGCCGTAAATATCAATTGTAAACATCTATAGCTTGTTCAAGAGTTGATTTCCAGATTTTCCGTTGCGTGGTTCGTTTTTTTCGTCAATTTTTGAAGAGGAAACACGTTGGGCTATTCCTTGTCTGGCGGCCCATTATTTCCATGCAGACCTCAGATAAGAGTTCAGTGTGTCAATGGAGACTATCAGCAAGCTCAACCGCTGGATCCCAGATATCGGTCAAAGACGCGATAAAACGGACAAAAGGACATGTAAAGGCTCGGAATGTGACGGTCAAAAAGAGACGTAGGTCCGCAGAGGAGGCGAGCGTGATTGTGCGAGCGCGCGCATTCACGTCGCTAAACACAAATATACACACACAAATAATACATGTTTTGACTTTAAATTGTTTCATAAATCATGACTGCAAATGAAGCTCCGACCTCAGCTAACCTGCAACGCCAGGGATGCCGTTTCTCGAAAATTTCCGGAATCAAATGTCGGCTCCTAATTAATGAGTTGCAAACAAAAGAATATGTTACTCTTCACCGTTTTCATTATGCAGAGCCTGTTCCAAAAAACACTGGTAGCGAGGTAGTCAGGAGAAATAAATAAATAAATAAAAAAAAGAGTTATTGTGACCGTTTACGTGAAAAACGAACTCAATCCCTCATGAATTAGAATCTTATCGAAATCAGAGCATAAAAGAGTGTTTTAAGATCATTTTAGGATAAAGTACACCTAAAAATTTTAGAACTAATCGACATTGTAATGGTTTGAAGCTTACTGTTCGAAAATAGTAGTTTTGAGAAAGAATTGATTAAAATTCTGATCTGCCATAGTCCGGGTACAAAATTTTCAGATTATAGTGTAATTTTGCACCCTCTGTTGGCTCAAAAATTAACGCAGTCGCTCATAACATATTCTTCAGGATACTAATATAGACAGTTTTCGGTATAAATCTCACAATTTTATGTTTCAACCCTAGTCGACGAAAATTATCTATTTAAATTTTTTTTTAACGTAAACTTTGGCCCCTCTTGCATACGGTTGGTCAAGATTTATAGAAGTGGACATATGGATGGATGGTTGATTTTAGGTTAATTTGATAAATTCCCTGAGAAACTTCATTGGTTACGGCGAGAAAACTCAAATCAACGTATATATTTAGGATTTTAGTGTTAGAAATGGCAACGCTCCAACGACAAAACAAACATTTAATTAGCAGCTGCATATTTAATATTCGTTGTTATGGCACCAAGAGTCGGTGTTATTTGCGCTATGTTGACTCATCTCCGCCGAATTATTTTTCTCCTT